TACAGATCTTTAATCTCTTTCAGGAGTTTGACAGCTATAAGTGTGTTACAGTTTAGACTTAAAACATTCCCCTAAACCTCATGATTTTGGAAGGTGGTTGGACTATGAAGGCTTTATAGCTGACTTGCTGTTGAGAGGTGGGGTTTGGTGGGTTGGGTGTGGAAGGGTTTATCCCCTTCTCAGCTCCTCCTTTGACCACCTCCTGTCTGTCAGGAGGTTGATAGCTGTTCCCCTTCCAGGGGCCTGTGCCGTGCCATCCTGCCATGAAGACATCTGACTGTGGACTGAAACGTGAGCCACAATAAACTTCCTTCCTGTTAGTTAGTTGCAGGTGTGAAGTACTTTGTACCAGTGAAAAGAAAAGTGGATAAGACAAAGTGCACAAGAAGCGCATGTATTTTACAAAATTAATCCAGAAGCATTTTATATTTATTGACATTATCTTAGAGTGCATTTTAACTTTTTCCCAATATCTATTGATGTTTTTCTTACTAGTAAAAGTTATTAGCTGTTTTTTATATCTTGATCCTGTATTCTATAATTATAATAACTCAGGTATTAGTTCTAGTAGCTTTCTTGAAAATTTAATAGAAAATATGCATGATTTTTAAAAATCTTTCTCACTATCTATATGAATTTTTATTTTTGGAGTTTCTGCAATGACTAGGAACCTGGATTCCCTAGAACAATTTTGAATAAAACAGATAAGAGTGAATCTGCCCTAATTTATAATTTTAGAAAAAGAAATCAATTTTTTATCTTTATATAAAGGGTTTTTCATAAATGAGCTTTCTCAGATTGAAGTTCTTTTTAAATTCTAGTTTGATAAGAGTTTTTAATCATAAAGGTATATTGAAAATTTTCAAATGCTTTTTTCAACATCTACTGAGATAAGCACAATATTTTTTCTGTACTCTGTCAATATGCTGAATCACAAGGACTTTTATTCAAATACTAGAGAAATTTGGAACCCTAAGATACATCTTGCTTACCATTTTTAAAATTTACTGGATTTGCTTTGTTAATATTTAATTTGGTGTTTATGTTCATGAGGACTGTTAGCTTACAAATTCTTTTTTTTTCAGAGGTCTTGGGCTGGTTTTGTTGTCAGGGTGATTGTGGAATTGGTTCTAAAGTCTCCATTTCTTTTGTCACGTGTGAATCTGTTTTCATTGACTAATTTTTCTTATTCTCATGACTTATAATTTACTTCTTTAGGAGCATTATGTAATTTAAGTTGAACCATGCATTTGGAACTTTGTGTTGTTCAGTCATTATTTTTACTTTATTGTCTTTATAAAAGATGGCCCGCCTTTGTTATGGAAAGCTGTTGAAGTCTGGTGGATCAGCCTATTTCCCTCAAAGCTTGCTTCTAAGCTGTGCTTGGCTTTACCTAGAGTTATCTTTACCGCAGGGGTATTTTTTGCACTTCTACACAGGTACTGTTGATCAAGGTGAGCCACGAAATTGTCAAACATGGTTGTCCAGATCTCGACTATTTCTCCGATCAGTACTGGTGCAGAATTCACACCTTCAACTCCCAGTCATTCTGTCCCAGGTGGGTCTGCTTGACCTTATGGAGTTTGACCCTGTGTGAGTTTGACCACACAGGTCAGAGTTTAATACCGTCACTGACAGACAGTTACTAACAGGCAGAGGCTTTGGTTTGTGTCTGTGTAGATTCTTCTTGTCCACAGATTCCAGTGCCCGGGTCCCTGGCTCCAGTCTGTTTCTCCCAAACACAGACTGTCAGGTTTGGGTCCAGGTCCTTCTCTGCACTACTGCTGTGGACACTGCCAGCGCCAGGCAAGCTGCAGCTCTTTCCCAGCTTCTTTCCGCTCCTGGGCCCAGCGCAGCTCTGCCTGAGACAGTGACTCAGATTTCATTTGTTAATCGTGATGTTGTAAATCTTTTCCCATTTTTAACTGTGACCAGAAGCACCATTCTTCCACTCCTTTTTGTAGATAAGTGAACCGAGGCTTAGAGAAGCTAAGTAGTATAACGAGAAAGGATAAGGATTTGGGCATAATTTGGGTTCTAAATTTTTCCTGTTTAGGATTTGTATGAGCTTCAGTAAAGTTACTTAACCTTTTGTGTTGATTTTGAATGGAGAGGCTGCTGCTGCTAATACACAGTTAGGAATTATCTGTTCCCATTATCGTGATGATTCACTGAGATGATATCAGTGAAATTTCTGCACAGTGCTTGGTACACAGTGGGTACTGGGTATGGTGTTTGCTAACTAGAGATATTGCTCATCATTATTTTGGTAGGATTTCTTTTATAAATAAAATATGATGCAAAATATACCTTCTTATTTATTTCTAAATGTTAAACAAATCTTTGGCAACCTTCAAATTATTAGTGGTGACCTTAGCTTTGGAAGAATTTCTGACTTCAGGCTTAGGAATGTAATATTGATGGCAAGACAAATGCTTTGTCTATTATGTATCACAAGAGTTTTCCCTTGAAGTCTCCAGGAACAGAAAATAGGTATGTTCAAGCCCACAGGACAAATCCTCTGTAAGCAATGACAGAGCACTCTAATTTTGTGGAATGAAAGTTGGTTGGTGTTTCTGGGAAGTTATAGAGAGAAGTTCTGTGGATGATTCATCACTGAATCTCGGTTCAGAGCGCCCAGGCCGATTTGAATTAATCACAGTGATAGCTATCTAATCTCTGCACGGCCTGGCGCCATTGCTGTTCCCTCTAGGCCTCAGTGGCAGAGACTTGATTCCTAAGTGGTGCCGTGGGAAGTGGCAGAAAGTTCTAACAGGTAGGGCATGGTGGAGGCTGGGCTTCCCTGCCCTGAGGGGAAGGGCTGCTTCACTGTGCCCTTGGCCATGATGTGCACCAAGATGCACCATGACAAGGGCCACGACGTATGTGGTGACATGTGCCTTGACATGCAGTGTGACTTGCACCATGACATGCCATGATGTGCAGCCTTGCCACAGCCCCAGAAGTGATGGCTCAATGTGATCTTGGCCTGGACCCTCCAAATCTGGGAGCCAAAATGCATCTTTTCTCTTTCTAAATTGATTTATCTCAAGTATTTGTTGTTGTGCTGGAAAGCTAATGTACACAAACACTAATAAACAGTTTCATAATCTAGGGATTACTGTAATTCCTCAATATCCATGGCTGATCTATTCCAGGAGACACCAAGGTTACCAAAACGTTTTATGCTCAGGTGGTTTAAATAAAATGGTGTAGGATTTGCATATAACCTACAGATATTCTTCCACATCCTTGCAGTCCTCTCCAGGTTACCCATCAGAACTAACAATACAAAAACCATGCAAGTTGTCGTTATACTGTATGCATAGTAACAAAGACAGGAGAAGAGAAGCTGTTCTGTACAGGTGCAATTTTTTTCTTAATTATTTTCGATCTGGGGAGTGTTGAATCAGTGGACACTGACACTTGTGGATACAGAAAGCTGACTTGTAGTAACTCAAAAGACAACTTTAAATAATAGTTTTTGTTGTAGAGTGCCATAAATTCTTGTATTTTTGCTTACATTTTTTTCTTTGCAGTGCTGAGGGTCAAAGTCAGGTCCATGTGCACTCAGGCAAGTGCTCTGCCAGTGAACCCTATCCTTTGCCCTGAGCTTAAGTAGCTCAACAGAGAACTATCATACTGACGTAGTGTGGTCATTGTTAAAGGTGTGATTATGTCCTCAGTTGTTCCTTCCAAACATAAATATGGTAAGTAGGTTAGAAACAAAACAGACTTGTCAGCCATGTGCAATGGGATATTTCAGCTGAGCAAGAAGAAATGAGACATCTTCCCTGATGATCACAGCCAGTGTGTCAGCCAGCAATACCCACTTATCCTCAGATGGCAGCAGCGCAAGTTAATCAGCTCTTGTTTGTGTGGACAATGAGTAGATGTAAACTCCATTCATAGTGACCCTCAGGACAACAATCTGTGATCTGAATCCAGGCTTTCCTTCCTTTCAGTGACATGTGAATTGCATATCAGAAAGAAATTTGTGATACAACCGGCATTAAAATTAGATGATCTAGTTCTAAAATATCTGATTAATGATGATTTTGGCTTGAAAACAAAATACATCAGTGGAAGTTTAAATTGGTTAATAAAAATGCAGACATTTGGGATTACCTTTGAGAATGATGCTATAAAATTCCATGAATATCTCTGTAAAATCCCCAACTCCTTATTCCTTTGACCTTTCTAAGACTTACCATTGAAGTTACTGTAAAGTATATTCGTTCTGTGCAGTTCTTGAACTGGAATCAATTTCTTTCTTTCATGACAGTTTAAACACTTTCCCACTTTCTAGTTCCTGAAAACTCTTTTCTAACAATGCTCATGAAAGTTAGAGAAAACGGTTTTCTAGAAGCCATCTCACTTGCAGGAATTTATACTGCAGATGAAGTTGTTTGTTCACAATTCATTTTGTGTAGGAGGGCTTGCTGAGTGACCTTGGGCATGTTCCAGGCCTTTGGGGCTGTTTTCCTTGTGAAAACAGATGTCCCCATGTGGCACAGCCAGCCACTGTCACACCCACTTAGCAATGTCAACGTTAGAATGGAGTCTGCTCAGAGTCCTTGAGAAGATCTGCATAGTGGAGAACCAAGTCCTTTCCTTACTCTTCTTTTTCTTCTTTCTTGCCTCCCCTAACCCCCACTTCTTATTTCTCCACTCTTTTCAAATAGAGACACTAACAGAAATGTGGATGGAGGCTGGGCATTTAGCTCAGCAGCACAGCACCTGCCTGGCAAGTGCGAGGTCGTGAGTTTGATTCCTGGTACCAGAAAAAAAAACAAAAACAAAACAAAACAAAACAAAAATGTGGATGCTTGCATGGTGTGCCTGATTGGAAATAGCCCAAATATTGGGAAATAAAAGTCAAGACAGTTATCCAATCCTCAAACCTGGATGTTTCCCAGTACATCATACGAGAAGCAATTTCTAAAGGTGGGCGAGGCAGTTATACTCATGTAGTTTCTAGGACAATGACACACTGAAAATTAATATTCCAATTATGTATTTAGGAATGTTGGTTTTATACAAACCAGAGTTGTAGCAATGATTGCTAGAACAAGTTATTACATTTCTAAAAGAAATAAAACCTCTACAGAGTTAGTATCAACCAAATAGATTAATGAGGGGTTGCCATCCTGCCCTTCTTCATGAATACATTCCAGAGCTTGTAAGGTGCCCTTACATCCTTGTCACACAGAGTGATTACAAATAAAGCCAAAAAAGAAAAAAAAAGGAAAAAGATCAATATTTTTCCCCTTACAGCATCTGATGCACAGACCCTTTGTCCCTTTCTCACATATTACAGAAGCTTCTCTCAGAGTCTGATGAGTTCTTTTTTTTCTAAAAAACAATCCAAAGATACTCATAATCAGGGGAAGACAATACCACTGCCATTTCCCAGTCATGTTAGGATGGTTTTAGTGTAAGTACAGCAATTATTTATTAAAGTAACACATGAAAACATGAATAAAATACCTATATGTACAAAGTGGCACGGTATGATTTCTACCTAATTCTCAATAATACACTTGCAAAGTTTCCCTGCATTAACATACTACAGAACAATAAATACAAACACTGGGTAATATAAGGACTCCAAGAAAGTGGAGGCACTTCCACAGATAAAGCGATCAGCCCCAGAAGCTTCAAACTTGACACCAGCCGGGGTCCAGCTCTCATGAAGCCCCCGAACCCACTCTCCTGGTAGGTCTCTTGAGGGGGAGTAATATGCTTTGTGACACTGTGAGGACTGGAGAAGCCTGCTGTTCTTTTGGATTCTGCCACTGCCTGTCATCTTGAGGTCACTTTACAGATTGATGAGGAAGAGCAGAAGTCAGGGCTGATTCCTGGAGATTCCTCCCACTGCTGGAACAGAGAAGCTGAAGATTAAGCCTATGAGCAACAAGAACAAGAAGACATCAGAGTCCAAGGAAGTGAGGAAGAAACAGAGGTGGGGAATGACCTGGAGGTGGTGAACATGCTGAGGGCCAGCAGCAGTTTTCTCTACACACAGTAGAGTCATGAGAATGCTTCCCAGGCTCTTTAGACTCAGTGTGCTTTCTGGAAACCCAGTCCTTGCCCTCCAGACCAGTCCCCACTGACATCGGAGCTCCAGACTCTGCTGTCACCTCTGTGACTTACCACAATGCCAGGCTGGCAGTATGGGGGTCATTATCATCCTGAACTCCCCTCGTGGACCTGGGATGTGGATGGGATGGGATGCAGAGGCTCACCTGAGCCTGGTAGAGGATGATGACATGGTGTTCTGGGGACAGTGGCACCATGGTGGAGATGAGTCCTGGCCTTCTCATGATGTGCATGGTGGAAAAGTTCCTTTAATAATGGTGGCAGCTCTGTCTCCTGACAAGGGGGACAGCTGGACCCTGGCTGCTATGGCCTGGGGTGGCCACTGGGATTTTTGTCAAGTCTCCGACCTCCTCCAGAGCACGGGTGGATAACACACACTCCAGCATGTGTGAGAGCAGTGTGAGTCTGGGGAGACAGTGGGCCAGGCCCTCCCTCAAGCACTAGACTCACTTCCTGCTGGGGCCAGCTCTCAAGATGAACCAGTGACTTATGGATGGCATTCAGGAACAAGAGGAATCAGTGCTTCCTTGCAGCTAGAGACACCCTGGCAAATGAGCCCCCGACCCGCTGCACCTGCTGGGCCCTCTGCACAGAGCTATATCCTCAGACCAGTGCTTTCTAAGCTCTGCACAGGTGCATTTGAAGATACCTAACCAGCCAGAAACTAATAGTTCACAATATATAATTACACGAATTGTAATGCTGCAGGATTATTTTTAGCCTTTTCATCCTGTCCTTTGTATACCACCCAGTACCATAACTCTTTATCTTTTGGATATGTTGTTCCTTGTGGCTGCAGAATCTTTCTTTGCCTAGATTACTTTAAGAAAAATAATTCTGTAAGTCTCAGCTTACATACCATATGTAGGAAGTTTGCCATTAAACTTCTGTGGCCATGTCTGTCTTCAGATACCATTATCTTTTCTTTTACCACATTACACTAAAATGGCTTTCTTTTTGTGTGTCCCTCTGAGGTCCAGTTCTGTGTGCTCTTTGAGGACCTGTTTGTTCAGACCATTTATTGGCACCAATAAGAAAGCAATGTACTTTGCTTCTCTATAGTTTTGCAGAGAAATTCTAGCCTTGACCATTTAAAGTGATAGCAAATGATATTCTCAGCTGTGCTATCTTTTCCTCTCCTTATCCTGAGAACTGATCTCAGAAAAAGAGAACAGACACACTTTCTTCCATTGATGAGCACTAACATATGTAGAAATACAAATAACAACTGCATTTCACACCTTTGATTCTAGTGGCCTTCAAAATTTATCATAAGTGATTTCATCCTGAACAGCTATTTTGAGGGTGGTGCCAGCTCTTCTGAGGAAGGAATCACTTTTGTTCTCATAGCTGAGACCAAAGAGGATTACACAGAAAAGGTGTAAGTTAAAATAATCATTATTTTACTCTAAGACAACTGTGGTTATTATATATAGCAGTAGGCAGTGAAATGGTGTATTTTCTGAAAACTTTATCCACCTTCCTATTGTCAATGTAAAAGTGGCAGAGATTCTAGAATGCATCTGAGTTAATGAGTCAGTAACAATCATGTTCATACAGTTTTTAAAATGTTTCCTCATTTCTGTGCAGAACTTCATGCTCCGGGCAGATACAGTTTGTAGAAAGCAGGCCAGACATTGTAAGTATTTTGGAATTCCTGTCTGCCCTGACAAATCACATTAAGTATAATTCTCTGAACAAAATAGATGATCAATAAATGAAGCAGTTGGCATTAATTATATCTACGGTCTTATTTTGATTGTTCCTAGTTGATTGTGTCTATGGTTGCTGTAGAATATAGATTCAAAGACTTCATTTCTTTCCTTAAACCTTTTAGGCCTGATGAGTACATTCCTACTCACTCTGCATTTCTGCATCAATAACTGATTCCTACTGCACAGCTTAAAAAGGAACTACTCACAAGTTCTTTATTTCCCAGTACAGTGGTAGAACTACATATTTTAAGACAACTAGCTAGTGGAATTGACAGATGTCAAACTTATTTCCTCCCATTACATTCTGATCTTTACTCTTTAGAACATGCTTATATAATCCCAAAATTGCACAGGGGAAAGCAAATATTATTAGCTCTGAAAATCAAAAGGCATGAAATCAGAGGTTAAGAATAATTTTGAAAACATGAAAATGGAAATGAATGGCATTGGACAATAATTTATTGCGTTGAACTTGTTTGGGTCAGCACTATGTCTTTTCTACTGCACAACTTATTCTTCTTTGTTTTGTTTTTCTTCTACAGATGAACAGAGGACATTTGTCTTCCTCCAAGTTGGGCGATGAGCATCTGCACATTGAACAGTTTGGTATCCAGAAGGCTTTCCTTTACCAGACACTGGGGTACGGAGAAACCAGAACTGGTTACGACCTGCCCAGGATCTCCACATCCAGGTACCTGTCCTGGCTCCTCAAAGTGTGCAGTACAAAAGGGTGGCTGACACCCAGGTTCCTTTCTTTCTAGTCTGCCCTAAGTTTCTGATTAAAGAGGGATGACATTTGGATAGAGTGTGTACATCTGGGCCACAGCCCCTGCCTGTCTTCTGCTACTCTGTAGGAAGTATGGTGGGCACTATTTATCCAGCAAGCAACTGCTGAGTGTCTGACAGACCTGTGTTGGTAGCTTCATGGTAGGCACCCATGGTGGACAACAGCGACACCCTTACTCAGGGCCATTTTCCTCAGAAAGAGAACCACTGTGGTCAGGTCAGTTTGTGGCATATAAGTATTGACTGGTTCTTGTTTTCTACCATTCGCTTGAAAGGAGAAATTCTTTTGTAGGTTCTATAAAGTATCACACATTAATTGTAAAAGCATTCAATCAGTGTATCTTAGAGTAACTAACAACAGAAGAAAATTTCCCAACTCAGTTCTAGGAAAGAGAAAGACAATTCCATGCTGAATGATTCCAGTGCAGGCTTGAGACTGACCCGAGCGGTTTTATTGAAGTAAGAAAAGGCATTTCCCCTGCCTGGCTCTTGGGTAAGACATGGGATAATAACAATGATTGTAACCAAGCTTCTGAAATACATTGATTATTGATTAGCAATTATTATTAAAAGATTAATCCTTTCATCTCGTTGATACCTAGAGGTTATAAGCACAAAGATGCCTCTGTGACCAGTTGGGTAGGAGAAGTCCCAACTAAGACTGCATCTTTGGTCACTTTCCTTATGGTGTTTTGTGACAAGTCCATAGTTCCTGAATCTGCAGAGAAAATGTGTCCTGGCATGGTCCCTAAGGAAACAGGCAGTACTTTCTACCCAACTCCCCTGGGCCCTACCCTGAGTCAGCCTGGGGCTGTGGTGTGTAGCCTTACTTTCTGGCTTTTGTACTGTAACCTTTTCTTATAATAAACTGAAAATTCACACACTTTGTCATTTGGGTCCTACATGTCATCATTAGCTATAGGACCTTGTCTAACTAGCTGGCACTGCTGGTGTGTGTTCACTGACCCAGGCAGGCTACACTTACAAGGAAACAGGAAAGCAATTCATGTCATTCCTCAGACAGGATGGGCAAGTGGAAGAATTTTCTACAACCTCAAACATTCATTCTCTGGCAACTGTTCACAGAGCTTGTTTTTAGATAGACAGTGATTTCACTGACACTAACCATTAACTTCTCAGGTTTTAAAAATTATTAAATAATCTAAGGTGCAACTGGCTAACAAAACAACATGAGTGACAATTCAAGAGTGGAATGAGGACACTTACGTATTCAGTGCCCGGTGTAGGCGGATTCTTCACATGCTCAGTTCTTGGTCTTCTCTGCCACACAGCGCTCGCCTAAGGACAGAGAGAGGCTTTGATCTAGGGACTCAGAGAGTGGCTGAGGAGGAAAATCATGGTTCTTGATTTAGTTTTTTGTTTGCCAATGATGGTCAAATTCTGCAATATAGTCATTAGACCTACAATTTGCCTCTTATTACAGTCTGGAAATTCATCATCCAAATGCATGCTCTTGCTCTGGCCAGCAGCCACTTTCCTCTGAAGAAGTCATGCTAAGTTAGCCCTGGGAGGTGAGGGCAGTGACACGGTGACACCGTGGTAGCAGAGATGCCCTGGGGAATGGGTCATTGCCTTTTGTTTGGTGCATGAGTTGGAGCCACCGAAGCAAACATGTGTCCTATGTGTAAAGTGCATTGGAGTCAGGGAAGGCTCTTCTGTTAAATACATCAGTGAGAGCTCTGGGAAATGAGCTGCAGACCAACATGAATGCTTCAGGGACTACAGGGCAGCACAAACTGCAGCCATATTCTGTCCCCCAATAAAAAGATGAATCTGCTGCCCTCGGATGACAGAAACTACAAACCCCTCTACTGTCTCTGTGCCACTGAGTGTGCAAAAAGAAAGTCCCTCCCCTTCTTTGGGAGGACCAGGCCTCAGCATCAGGCCTATCCTGTAAAAATAACATTGGTTTAGAGCTCTAGGTTTTGGAATCCAGGTCATCATGAGCTCCAGCTTTTATGTGCTCGTGCCTGGGGAGTCTGCCTTCTTTGGACTCTGTGGATGTCACTGGTCATGTGCAGGTCACAGCAGTGATAGACAGTGCCAGAGACCTATGAGGACAAGCAGGACACCTTGTCCTGTGCTTCTTAGGTCCCACCTCTGAGAAATGCTGAAAATGGCCTGGAGGTTCTCCCAGCCCTGTTGCACTATAGCCTGTGTTCCCTGTTGTTGATTTGCAGCAGGGAAAGCACAGCTGGGGACCACAGGCTGAAGCCCAGGTGGAGGAGTAAGCAGAATGAGCTTCCATTCACCCCCGGCATCTGCCTGGAATCATCTAAAGCAAGTCATAATAATGGGAAAATTATTTCAGTTCCTAATACCTCCCTCAAGTTCTCCCTGACCAGGAGTGGATAAACCGAGAAAGGTGCGGTAGCAGGATGCCCTCAGCAGTGGTTATAACGATGATATCTATTGCAACAGCAGGTGAAAAACATGCATTCTGGTAACAACAACCAAAAGAAAATGGACCAAATGTCAACAGTGATTGTGTCTGGGCCGTTTCATGGGTAACCTAAAAAGTCTTTTGTTTTCTCTATTTTTTCTATTTTCAACCGTGAATAATGTGTTTGACTATTAAAATGGTAGTTTAAATCATAAAGAAATAGTGTGTCTCAGTAATGCACAGAAATTTGCCAAATTAAGACTGAGTTAAGGGAAGGGAAGACCAGTGACAGCCGGGCAGCAAGGAGGCCAAGGTGGAAAGGCAGCATGAGCTACCCCCAAAAGTGGCTGTGTGGATGGATGGCTTTGTCAGTCTGCATGTAATTTGATCATTTTCACTTTTGTTCATTTTTTTAAAATAAGCTTTCTTTCTAAAAAGAAATACTCAAAAAAGAGTAATTACCCTAATATGCAAGACAGTGTGCTAGTGACTCCCTAAAAGTAGGTGGTCACCTGGATGATTGATGGTTGGTAGGGCAGGTGGATGGGATGGTGCCAGGCAGGGATGCCCCTTTCTCCTCAGCGGGCCAGGGTCCGTGGGGAGGGAGGGTGAAGCCCGGGGAATCCACGGTAGGAAATGGTTCCTAACAGACATAGCATGGAAGGCCAGCACACAGACACCCTGAAGGCTTGACCTAATCCCAGGATACAGGAATTCAGAATTCATCACAGGTCTCTAAGCAGAGGCATGGAGTGACCAGTTCAGATCTGCATGCTTTTGTTCCAATGGTTCAAAATCTAGCAATTTTTGAAACTTTATTCAGTGGCATAGTGTTCTTTTTCTTCTTTTGTGTAATTATGTATTCTCTGAGCAGTTTTCTTTGTAACTTTATAGCCTTACGTATTAAAAGTGAAATAATATACATAAACTTTTTGAGATGTCGGGTGAGAGCACTTTAAATGCCTCACATTACTCATATATTCTGCCATCAATGAAGGTGGTGTTCAACTTGGTAAGATGTCTTAATAAAGCCAGGTGGCATCATGCAGGTTTCCTGAAGGAATCCCTTGACCTGCCACATTCAGCACACACATTTTTGTAAAACTGTATCCTTATTACACACTTGGGGCTTTCTCTTTGACATTACAGAAACTCAGAGCATGTCTGGGCTACATTTTCAGCAGAAAGAACCCATCTCAAGCAGGCAGAGAGTATGGCTGGATTGGCAGTATGACCTCACTGGAGGGGGAGAACTCTGGGTCAAGGAACCATCTTTCCAGGAGAGAGGATTAAGTCCGACCTTGGCTCCCAAGGGCTGCTAGAAATCCAGACAATTTAGCATCCGCTGTCATTCCTGAGACCCAGCAACTGCAGAGGTCTGTTTCCTTGGAAACATTGTTTATTTCCCACTACAATGAAACTATTCATTTCGAGACAAAAGTCTAGTTTCTACATTGAATAAATGACTATTCCAGAGACTTGTGACAGCAGAAAGCGCAAACGTCTTGGGGCTACTGACTTGCGCGCATTCATTGACAATATTTTTCTTAGATTGGAACCAAATAAGATAAATTGTAACACTCATTGATTCTGATTGTTCAGATACTTGTTCTATCAAATTGTTTCTCTATTTTAAAAAGTGTAAAGATATTTATATAGGTGATAGTAGAAAAATTGGACTAAACCCGTGAACTTATGTGAAACCTAATCCTTTCAGGTTTTGTTCTAGTTATATTTTAGGAAAAATGTCAGTATTGGCCCTGAGATACCCGAATAAAAATAACTTTAACAGTGTAACATCTGTTAGGTGAGCATAATTTTATAAGCAAAATACATTTGAATAAATTTTGAAAGGGAGCAGGAAGAGCTGGGTTTGAGAATATTCAAGGGCTATGCAGTCTTGTTAACAGTGGACTTTAGTAAGCACTGTGGTGATCCCAGTGCCATTTGGTTATTGCTATGCTTGAGGTTATTAATTCTTGGCTATTGAAATCTGCTCTGAATCCTCGTCTTCAGCCTCGTTGTATCACCATATAGTTTTCATGGTAATTACCTGGTAATCACCTCTCAGAGGTTTTTTTGAGCTTGGCAGAAACAAAAATACCAGTGAATCTGTCTTGCTGTTTCTACAATATTTCCTCCTTAGATTTGTGACTAGGAAGGACAAGAAGCTTGGAGGGCCAAGGCTCTGTTAAGATCCCATCCTGGTCCATCCTGGTGGGAACCATTACTGAAGAGTCTGCAGTGCATTTTGCAACCAAAAACCATGTGAGGATCCATGGGGGTTTTGCCTGAAAGAAGCCATGATTCCAGTGTCTTGGGAGACTTCCTAGCGGTGAATGGAAGACAGGAGGTGGCCCCCAATTGCAGCCCCTTCTCAGGAGAGTGCTCACAAGGACCCTGAGGGAGCCAAGGGCTCAGGCCTCTCGGTGACTGAGCCCGGGTCCTCCAGAGCTGACTGAGGTCAGCCACTGTGGGCTGCTGGACTGCTCCCTGCCTCTTCCCACCTGGGAGGAGAGGTGGCCACTTGGTCAGGGTAGTAAGGACCTGGGGGAGCCTGGCTCCTAAGGGTTTCTAGTGTGTGTACCAGTGGGGTGGCTCATTGTGCCCAGCTTTCCCATGAGAAGCAGCTCTGGGCCTCCACGGTTAGGCTGCAGGGGGTTTTCAGGAGGAGCACCTGCCTGCCTGTCCTGGGACATCAGGCCACACTCAGCCCTGGGTGTCTTGCTCTTAATCTAGATATTACTTACAGCTTTTTGTTTTGCATAATTGCTTTTAACTATAAGAAATATTATAATGCAGTTTGTCATCCTTTAGCTCTCATTTTATATAATCCTTTGGGGGACTAGTTTGTGTAAATAAAATCTGGCTGAACTGAATGTTATAAACATATTAATGTAACTGGATATTAGACTTAGAGCTACTTGGCTTATTTGGTAAAATTTATAATTGCTTTAAATTTATTTCTTTTGTGATATCAATGTTTTAAATATCTGGTATACTCAAGAAAAAATTCTGTGCTTTTTTATTTTTAAAACCTCTTTGGTATCTTTTTTTATTGTTCTTGATACAAATATAACTCATACTAATCATATCTGTACTTTGAAAGTCTTTTATATTTGAAAACAAATAAACATAACACAAATTAGAAAAAAACACAGATTTTAGCAATGGGAAATTGTGATTATCTTTATTGAGAAGCTCAATTAAAATTGTATAAAATGATATGGAACATGACTTACACTTTAATGGATTAATGATGTGATATAATAAATATTGCTGGTTCCAGCTGACTGTATGCAGCCATTACCAAAAATGAAACAAAGCAACAGTGATACTAAAAAGTCTATCAACAAGTCTGGCATTCTTTCTGCAACCTCTCCAGAACCGGAAGTGTGTCCAGCACTACCTGTTCCTTAGAACCCATCTATAACCCAAAGAAAAGCAACTTCAGAAGGCTAGATAGCCTAATGTCTTTATAAAATGGTATTTCTAAGGTTCCTATTTCCTCCATACAAAACCTTTCTATTTTTTGAGAGTTACTAATTGACTATTTCTAAAGAAGTTATGCTGTTTGATTATATTTCATGTGACAAATCCAAGGCTATAGTTAGATTTTAAAATAACCATTTGCCATCTAAACAACTGTGTAGGAACTCACCAGACTCGTGAGAAATTGTCTTGACAGTAAGCAGCTTCACACTCTCTTTGTTGGACTGTGGTCTGTTTGAAATGGAAAATACCATTAGCACACAGCATTAGTAGGGCGTCCGTTTCTTCACCTGAAAACCCGCATGCACTGTTCAGTAATTTCCACTTCTGGAATCAGAGCAATAAAGCCTCTTCCTCCATTGCAGTGGTGCCAGACTAACTCTGGAATCAATATTGCAGTGGGGGACGCTGTCACAGGGCCATCTAGCACTTGTCTACAGCTCTGAATTATAAGAGGGAGATATGGAAATGCTCCTAAGCCTGTGGGATCAGGTTGGGTTCTGGGGCTCTTCCTGTCCACTTGTCCTGGACCCTACACTACAGTGCCCAACCTGTCTGTCACCTAGGAGTTCCCACTTCACCGTTCCCACACACAGCCAGTTTCCAGCCCTTGTGTCCTCCCCCCCCCGGGGGGACATCTCAAGAGCTCCCATTTCTAATTCAGAGTGGTAGGTGCTCAAGGGCTGTTATTTCTAACGCTCACAACCTGATAAGATACAAAACCACTTATATAAATGCAGACCACAAATGCAGGTCAGTAAGATTTAACCATAGCATTTGTTTTTGACATGCAAACAATGATCACGTTCTTCACAGCACTTGGTGGCAACAGTTGCTTGGATTGCTCACGGCTCCTTGTCTGCTTTTGTAAAGTCTAAGTAGAAACCATCTGCTGCTCAGGTAGAGCCACTCAGAGCCAGCTTAGGGACAGGCATGACTTTTCCTAACTGTGATAAACATGCTGGGAATGTCACTGGGAAAACTATTTTAAAACTCTAGGCATATGTTCTATGGAAGCTTCTTTCTTAATGTTCCATTTTAATTTTCCCCCTCATCCTACCATTTCATCTATACCTAAGAGTAATCTTTTTTTTAGCTGTTGGAATTTCTCTGTTCAATACCGAGAACTCTTAGAAACAGCCAAACCCCTGACAAACAGTCTCATTTTCCTTTTTTCTCCCTCCCTCCCTCCCTCCCTTTCTTCTCTTCCTCCTTTCCCTCCCCCCATTTGTCTCCACCCTTCTTTCAAAAACAGCACAAAAGATAACTACAGAATTAAACACTTTTCTCTATGCAAACTGTGAAGTCAGAGTGGCTAGGAAAAAAGGAATGCCTTACTTACTGATCACTTCCGTTTTCCGGAGTGCCTAGAAGAGGAGGTAGTGGTTATGAGAACTGCAGGGAGCTAGGGAGCTAGAAACCTGGCCCACCTCTCTCTGCGGAAAGTGCTCCCACAGTAGTTTTAGTTTTCCTGTTTCCCCATAAGAATTCTGCTTCCCTTTATACATTGCTCTTTCTCAGCACACAAATGGACAGTTGTTGTGAGTGGTGAATGTGGTGTAGATATTATTTCTAATTGCACTTTAAGACCACTGATTCAACTTCTCAAAAGTATCTTGCAAAATATCACTGAGGTTGTGTGGTGTGCTAAAAAAATAGGTAAATGTTTTAACTGAAAAAAAATTATTACAGTGAAAGACATCTGGTCCTTAATCCCATTCAAAATACTCCCCCGCCCCCAGCACAATTTTCCTATCTCTTACCACCTTCTGAAGCAGTTCTGGAGGTACTCTTTCCTGAGTGTCTTAGTGCTGTCCTGGCTGCCTTGATGTCCTGAATCAATTCAAAATATTTACATTTTATGAGGTAAATTTTTTAGGGGGAGGACCAGAGGCAGAAGTTGCACTATGCCAGACGTGGTGAATATTGTGGATGAGGATATGCCATAATATGTTTATAAATCTGCCTTTCAGTTGGATGGAACTAGGAAACAGCATTCACTGTATTTTTGATCACACCACCTAAAGACACTCATGAAAGAGGACTTCCATAGCTGTTTCAGAAAGTGGCCAGAACCATGGGAAAATGTGCTTGAAGTGAGGGAGAGCATCTTGAAAGAGATTCATGGCAATGTGTCTTTTACCATAATAAAATTTTAAAATTTGAACCTTCACCATATATTTTGATCATACTGTGTTATGACTGAAACTACTCATTCATGTAATCTGCCAGGCTGCTTCTCAAATGTCTGGGAGGAAATGCTTGGATTTAGACTGGGGAACCAGGATGCCTCAATCTGCACACAATTTGGCCTCTCTGCAGTGGGTTTTGATGGTCAAGCACTGCCTTGTGTTAACTGAGGTGTGTGATAGATTAAGGTGTCCATTGTGAGGCTCCTGAGAGCATCCATTCTACACAACTCCTGTCTCCTGGGTCATATTAGATCTTGTCACTGGAATATGCCCTTTGAATATAACTCTCCTGGCTTCGACCATTCTGGACATTTAATTCCACTAACATTTTGTCTGCTTCTATTTTTGTTACATTGATTGAGACACTCAATCTTGGCTCTTAATCCTCAGGAGTTAAGCCATGGCACCATGTGCTGATTATGGTGGGGTCTAGCCTTATCTTCTATTAAGCAGTAAGGCTGAGCATTTTAAAAATTTCTGTATGTGTCAAATACAATATGACCAGTGATGATCATGACCCTGTTTTAGATTGGGCTGGTAGGTGGGCATTCCTGTTGTAATGTTTTTCCCTAGGGTCCTGTAATGACGGAGTCCTTAGCAGACTGGCAAAGTCAGAGATCACCGGCAGCATACCCACACAACATGCTTGCTTGGGGTAAAGTCCAGTCCACCATCACTGTTATCCAGATAAATTTCGTTTCAAACTGAAATCTCAGAGTCACATTACCTTCCAGAGAGCAGAGTGGGTTTACTAATTTTCTGAACTTAATGAAGCCTTGCCCACAAACTTGAAGAGTGATTAACTGTGGGTGTTTAATGGTGCTAATTTAATGATATCAATATTATAAATTCAGTTTGGAAAACAAAGTTAACAGTAATCACATAGACTTGGCTAATTATATAACTTCCAAACTTGGTCTTAAAGCACTATATGTCTTAAGAGTAACTCTCCATAGTGGTAGGAATTTCATACACCCATAGAGTTCTCTTTGATAGAAAATGTCAACTTTTCAAACAACACATTTTTGAATCTTCTTGTGCAAAGCAAATTTTTCAAGACAGGATATTTTTACAAACAGATTTAGCATATTAACTTTTACCTATCCTATATACTCATCACCCACAGTTTCAATTTGGATGGCTGATTTTCCATTAAAAAAAGATTTGTGGTATAAAATCTTAAAAAAATTAACGTGATTTATAAAAATGCTATTTCCTCTCTGGAAACTGGTAAGAAAACATATTTCAGACCTTATTAAGAAGTATCCTCACTCACTCTCACAGGAAAAGACACATATTTGTTTTCCTATTTTCTCCCTTGAGCTAAATGAGCACTGCTGCTTGGTCCCTGACTTCTTCCACATTGTCACGATCAAGCATGAAGGGTTCCTGAGACCCGGCATCGCTGGCCCAGCAGCTGTCATTAGTGTCCCAGGGCCCACTGTCCACAAAGTAAGCAAAGTATCATGCAGCAGAGGTGCCTTATTAAAATACATGTGTTTTTACCTTTATGAGACTTAGATAGAATTTTGCTAGTGAAATATTTAGAATCAAAGTAGAGAAAGGAAAGATGCTATTATGCTGGGCACTGACCCACACAGCAAGGGCTTGGAAAGTAGGAGGTGCAGTGTAGTGTTGGTAACATGTGGGCGGGGCTAGGAGGGATCATAAGGGAGCCCCCCATAAAGAAGTAATTATATTATAATATGTGAATTATATAATCTTTTTTTTTTTTTTCTGGTACTGAGGATTGAACCCAGGGCCTTAGCCCTGAGCTACATCTCCAGTCCATTAAAAATTTATTTTCAGACAGGTGTGGATAAGTCATTAGGTTTACCTAGGAAGAGCTTGAACTTTCCATCCTACTGCCTCAGCCTCCTAGAGGGCTGGGATTCTAAACCTGTGCCATCATCAGATTTTGTAGGATTGAAATTGAAGGGACCATCCCTCCTGCTTGAAGTAGTGGTATGTTATCAAATGATACTGTAAATTGGTAGAAGAGCTGGAACAGTTAGGGAAGGTGGGGATAGGTTATAGAAGGTGACAGGTGGGCTGGCCATCCAGGAAGGGCCTGTGGGGAGGTGGCAAGAACCATGGCACAACATGGTGCCACCAGGGCAGCTGTGGCTCTGGAGACCCACCTGGAGGGCAGGTAGCACAGATCCTCCTGTGGTAGAGGGGACACTGGTTGAACTGCCAGCTGAGGAGATTCAGGCAAAGCCCTGAGCAAAGTGGAGCCAAGGTACCCGAAAGAGAAAAAATGGCAGAATAAGGGCCGAGAGAGACAGGAATGCAGTCAAGAGTTTCATTGATAAGAATGTACGGATACTGGCTCATTAATTGTGACCAACACACTATAGTAACTTAAGCTAAGAACAGGGAAGTTAGGCCTGGTATATAAAAATGCTCCTCGTCTTTGCAAATTATCCATAAATTAGATCTATTCTAAATCTAAAGAATATTCTAAATTAAAAGAATCTATTTTAAATAGGAACTGTATTTAAACATAGAAAAACTACAACACAATCATGGAAGATGCCTTCACCAGAAGAAGATGAGCCTTCAAGGTGGGAAGGTGAGGCACAGAGCAGCAGCTCTATCCTCAGGCTCCTGAGCTTAGTGCTTAGCAAGCCCTCCTTCTATGCTGTTACGTGGAAATGGAGTACAAACCTTCCTGACAGACCGGCATGCCATCTGATGCCCGCTTGTCTACCATATTCCCTTCACCATCCACAAAGGGCCTGCTTCATTAACAAGAATTCCCTCACACTTAATATCTACCCAGAGTACTTACATGCACCAGCATCTCTGGCTTACTCTGCCTTCTCCTGTCTTTGTGATTGAGCTATTGTATGCCATTTATTTTTCTCCATAGAATCACTCTCTCCGTTTAAGTGTGTAAGTTCAAGTTTAGTCTGAGCAGATACCCATTCCCCTTTCAGAAAAACAAAACAAAATAAAATAGTCACCTACCTGAGTCTTTCTTCCAGCACATTTGATACAAACCCACCAGAACAAATACTGAGAGGGTTATAACAATCAAAACTATGACAACCGGCAAAATGATACCTAGGAAATATGGAGACATTGATAATTAGCATGGTGGCTGGATTTCATGTAGATAGTTTCTGAGCAAAAACATGCTTGCTTTCTGCTTTAACCATGATTCTAATTATTATATTTTAGATGAAGCAAGTTGATCTGACTCATGGGTTTTGCTCTTGTGCCATTTCTGAGGTGTCCACTTGATGTCAGTCTTGCAGCCTTTCTGAAACACCTTCCACCCTAAGAGCCATCACTCCCTCTGCCTGGGCCTGAGGAGGACAGCCTGGTGAGGCAAGGACACCCCCAGATGACAGTGAAGCCACATTCACACATGGTGCTCCACAGGACTTCATGTGAAGCTACTGGAAAAGAAGCATAGCCCGCTCAGCACTGCTCTAGTCCTAATGTTGCCTTTCCAAAACACTAGCAAACATTTTTTCTGTGACACTATTTTAAAACTAGAAAAGACATAACATGACATAAGCAGATAAAATTCCCACAGATTGAACAACACAGTTCAAGAGGGGTGTGTGTGTGTGTGCGCTCAGGGTATTGCTGTGATTAACGTACAGTAATTTGTTTCTTTTTTTATTACGAGGAGGGTTTCTGTTTTCTTAAACAAATTCCCTTTCTTCTCTGCTAGTCATTTCTCCACTTGACTATGTCTGAGGACAACAGAGAGGCCAGGATGGGCACAGGGCAGGGAGACAGGAGGCCAGGCCATGCTTGGTTAGTGTCACCTCTGTGTGCATCTATTTCTATGCTCACTAAGGGGCCAGAGGGGGTCTCCAGTCACCGTGGGTGGTCTGCATCTCTACAGTCAGGTCAGATATTTGTCCTAAGTGCATGTGCTGCTTTCACACCAGGCCTTGTGTGGGGTTGTGGCTCCCTCTCCAGGTGGAGACCCCCGAAACAGCAGGCCAGGCATTCTTGTGCTAATTTGTTTAATGAGATAGCTTTGCTGAAATCCAAGATCATCTTTATGACTGCAGCTTCATATATACCCATCTGGTTCTCAATTGATAAGCAAACTGAATGTTCTGTGCCTGTCTTAGCATGTGTATATGTGTCATGTAACACACCCGCTGTAGCTGAAATAGACTGTTTCTTAAAGGGCATTGTTAAGGTAAAGATGTCAAGGTGAAAGGTCCCATTTTTGTGTACTTTATTTATGTAAGATATTTAATGGCCAAATAAAGATGGAATATTTGCAAGGTGTGCAGCATGGTGGTTTGGCGCAGTTCATTTGTAGAGAAGTCTCTATATGTGCACTTTGGCTTTTCTGAAACGTGCTGCCTGTCATCCTGAGCCCTTGATGGTAACTGCTTAGTACAAATGCAAGAGAAAAAAAATCACCTAGATGTATTAATTAAAATTAGATTCACAGGAAATTCTCCAAGCAGGCAGCTATTGCACAGGATTAGAATGGAGCTGCAGGCTCAGTGCAGTAGAGATAAGTGTCCTGTAAGTCCTCCCTTCACCGCCTTGTCCCGAATCTCTACTCTAGTCCCTTGCCAGAGCTACTGCCAGGAATGGAGATGGGTTTGTTACTTACTGGAATAAGAGGGGCTGGGTGAAGAAGAACTTGGACTTTTTCCATCTTCCATCCCTGTTATTTTAAAAAAGAAACAAACAAGTCACCTTTGGTTGTTATGAACCAGTCCTCATACTTCTCCCTTTACCCCAGTAGAACAAGATGTCTGTGACCTATAGGCTTGATGATTCAAATGCAAACATTTGTTCCAAAGGAGGTCTGCTTTGAAAGTGGAGCTGAGCAAGGTTTCCTGGAGGAGGACATACTGTGCGGCGCGAGTCTCCACTGAGATGCACAGAGATCGTACCTTGAAACTGTGAGATGTTCTCCGACGTTAGTGTGAAGGGTACCACAGTGGATTCAGAAGGTGGTGGATCTCGCTGTTGGGTGCTAACTATAGAAAAAATCACAAATCCAAGTCAGACTTTGGTATTAACTCTTCAGGTTGGACTATTTTTTGCACATTCAAGCAGTTTGCTTTTCTGAAGACCTGGGAAAACTATGTGTTGATGAATAATAGGATAGATACAAGGGAAGCAATGAACTGTAAGTGCCTCTATTCCTTGTGGAAAGATGGTTCAACCTGAAATCACATGACCTACATATCAGCTTTACATCTTCATGAAGTGGCCAAGAAAACCCACATCACTTCTCTTCTCTTACAGTCAGGATAGCCTTCTCAATGAGTTTTTTTTTTTGTGAGATACAAATTTATGCAAAAAAGCCTTTGAAATGTCATGTGTTATAACTTTGGGAGAGAGTGATTTTCTCCTTTGCACATACTTAGAATGGGCATGAATGCACAGGACTTGGGCTTTTATAGTATTTTCAATGAGTGAGTAGAAAAGTTTGCACTGAGGGTTTTGTTAGAATGCTTGCAGGCAAATCGAAGACACCCTCATTTTCATCCTCACAGTTTGATAGCTGTGTCCATGATGTGCTTCATCTAGAATAACTAAAGTGTGCCTAAAAAGTGTGCCACAAGGAAAATATTGTTAACATTTTATTAACAGTATTATTTATTTAGCATTTGCTATCTTCAACCAGAGGAAGTAACTAGAAATTACAAATAAGAGTTTGTTATTCAAAACTTCCACATCTCACTACACTTAAAGGACATACAAGTAATTTAAGGTTTTATAAGCTGATAGCACTTTAACTTGTGAGCTTGTGAACTGGGAATAAAATGTACTATGTATTTAGAAATTTTGGGAAGTGCATTCTTTGTGTTAGGTGAAGCGCTCAATGGTATCATGCCTGCTTGCCTCAGCTCAGGCACTGCACTGAGAGTTCCTCAAAAGCGTGGTTCTCCCTGGGCCCGCTCACAGCCCTGGCCATGGCTGGAGTGCAGGATGGGAAGCTACCTGCTCCATGGAGCTCAGAATCATTGCTTCTTAGGACTGTCAAAGCCAAATTTAATTGCACCAAAGAAAATGAAATTCCAAGACTCCCTAGGCCCCTTCCTTCCTTGCCACCCACAGCCCCGCACACTCCTCTGCAAGCTCATGCATTTCTGACATCTGTGGGGGAAGAATAATGTTTAGCGTCTGTACTGTTCTTGCCATGTGAAAGATCTGTGGGAGGAAGCTCGATTTATGCCCATAAGAACAAAGGAAAATGTCAGGCTAGCGTACTAAGCAAGCAAAGCAAGGAATATGAACTGGAAGAGTGGGAATGAGCTGAAACCCTGGCACTTTAGTTGCTTTTCCATGGCAAGCCCTTTAGTGTGGATGGGCATTCCCTCAGTTATGCTGGTAGAGGATGGAGTGGCTGACTAAACATTCAGTGGACTCGAATTTCAGGATTCCACCTGCTGCTTATTACTTTTTCTTTGGTAGCCCCAGACTGAGCACAACCTCTCTGGCTCAGATGAAACTCCAATCTGCCTTGTTGGAGCATGTTGACTGTTTATCCAGCAGTCACTGCTAATGGCCCATGGATCAGCAGCAGTCAACCCTTCCCAATGCAATGACTTAGTGAGCTTTGGGTGCTCCTGATGATGGCAAGTGAGAGAAAAGAAGAAACTTTCAATGAAACTTTCAAAAGGGAACTTTCAATGTTTTGTTTTACTTTTAACTGCAGGCCTCAGTAAACAAAACATTTCTTAATTCAACACACACATATTTCCCTTGATTATGTGTAATATCATATGCTGTTGCCTGTTCATTTTCTTTCATTTTTACAATACTGGTCATGGCTTCTATTAGTTACCCACAACTTGAGAAGCGCTGCCATTTTACATGATTATATTGTTGAAATGGTGGTACTTGGGTTGCTTCACAAACTGTGAGTCTGAAGCTACTCATTCTGTGACTATGATGGAGAGACTCATGTGGTCTGATGATCCGTGTGTGTTTGGTCCATCAGGATATGTCCAATATTTATCCTAGTTGTTCTTAGAAGCTGAAACTATGACTCCTAGAAGGATTTCATGTTAACCCACTACTAAAGTATAAACCCATAAGCTTGGCTGAGTTATCAGATAATTAGTTTGCAAATTAGAAAGAAGGAATTAAGAGGTGGGCACGTACGATATACAGATATCAGTGGGAGATTAGTGGAGGGGATGTGCAGAGTAACACTCCAGTGTGAGGCCGGTGTGAGGCCCCTGCCTCAACTCTGCCACATCCTTAACGATGTCCACCATTAGCAGTGAAACAAGTGCGTTTCACTTTGCTCCCCTTATGTTGCCCGCTTTTCTTTTCAATAGGGAGCTGTTTAATGTACCTGTCCTGAGGGCTCAACGCCATTGCATGGAGTGATTATTAATTGTTTTAAATGGTCTGCAAATAATTGGAATGGTCTCACTGCAACTTGATAGGTTCATGTTCCATTTCCACACAGAAATTTTCAATATTGACACAATAAATTCTTTTCTCCTCTTTAAAACACATTAATTGTGTGGCTTTTAAAAGAGCACACTCCATTGGCTTTGCTACACCTGACTTCTCAGGCTCCTTGATTGACTCCTTGATGTCTACCTCAATTACACCCTTGAAGGACCCCAGGGCTCAGCACTGCTCCTCAGCTCTAACTATCCTCGTTTATATAATTGATATCTCACTTGCTTTCAGGGTGTGAACAGCACCACTGCCCATGATCTTCCCACTTGTACCCACAACCCAGACTGCTTTCTTTAACTTCAGATTCGAAAGTTCAGATGCCTCCTGAGCAAACCATAAACACTTTAAATGCAATGTGTCTGCACTTGAACTTTTTTTTTTTTTTTTTTTTTTGTCTTTTTGAGATAAGGTCTAGCTCTGCAGTTCAGGCTGGCCTTGAGCTCACTTTGCAGCCAAGGCTGGTCTTGAACTTACAATGATCCTTCTGCCTCAGCTTCCCAAGTACTGGTATTACAGGCATGTGCCACCATGCCCGGCCATACTTGAACTTCTTTATCTGCAGTCTCCCCATTCCTTTTGGGGATAACACTTCCTTCAAAGGGCTCAGGCCAAAGCTAGATTTGCTTTTGTCTCTTTTTGTCCTCTCCCACCTGCCGTTATCACTAGCATTTGGTGGGTTCATGCCTCCCAGTCTGCCGTTTCCCTGGTCTAGGCTACTGTCATCTTGCTTCAGTATACATGTTCTCCTCCATACTGTCAGTTACACTTAGGAAACTGGGAATCAGGCCATGGAACCCTTGTACTCAAAACCCCAGTGACCCCCAGGCCACATGCAGAAAAAGCTGGCATCTTTTTGTGGTGCATCTTTTTGTGGTGCACAAAACCCCAAGGAATCTGCCAGACAAGCCTCTGCCTCAACTCTGCCACATCCTTAACAATGTCCCCAAGCACTCCCTGGATGCTCTCCCCGCAGGCTGGGTGACTTGCTGTCATTTTGCATTTCTCATCTTTTTAAGGACTTTTACACTGAGCACAGGTTTCAATCCTGACCACTGGTCTCCTGGTCTCCTGCACAGGGACCCCTCTCTGCTGTGCTGCCCCGATACCTGAGTCTTCTCCTTCTGAGAATGCTCATTACTTTTGAACTTACTGTTTAATTTTGTTATCATTTTTACTGGTTTCAGGTTATCTTTCCTACTAGAATATCAGATTCTCAGGGTGTCTGATGTTTGCCTCATGCTAGAACATGAGATGTCAAATGAGACATCAAGAAGTGTCTCTCTGAGTTTTCTCCATTGGTGAACAGTTTTGCCAGTTCAAATGATTACTGTTAAACACAGGGTGAATCCAGGAGATTGACTTTTCAGTCTTAATATCAGGATGGGTAGGTAGTTAAAATCATTGCTCAACTTTTAAAATTCATTTAATAATAACTAAAAAGTGGTGACTGACTCGGGGCCCAACATTACTTGTACAGAAAACAGAAGTAGCTGTTGCATTTAAGGCACTCACACTTCATTAGGGGGTGAAGTACACCCCAAAATTGGTCAATGCACTGTAAGAGAGAAAGAATGAGCCAAGCAAAACACCAAGGATCAAAATCAGGGAGATAGTTATTGTCAGTTAAATCTTGCATATAAGCTACTTTTAATAAGCAGGATTGGAGAATTTTAAGAATAGTATATGCCATAGATGAATGCAGTAGAAATAGGAAATGAGGATAGGTGCAAATGGAAGAAGCAAACCAAGCCCCTATGAGAATTAAGGTCAAGTCCCTCTCCAGCTGCCAGTGTGGCCATGGGAGTGACAGGTCCTAAACTCCAGGAGGAGGTCTGCTCTGGGACTCCACAAGCAGAGGGCATGGTCCATGCCACAGGGGTCTACAGCAGAGTGGGACTCCAGTGTTAGTGAATGCTGCATGTGGCTGGCATGGCCTTGAGTTGGGGAGGGAATGCATCCATACAATCGCTGCAGCTTCTCTAGCTCTGAGAATTTGGTTCTTGTCAGGATCTTCATTTTGTCATCACTGGTACACAGGTTCCCCATCCTCACACTGCCTGTCCATGTAACAGGCCAAATATGAAGTGAAGCTTTTCTCCTTCAAACAACGAAAACCAATTTCTACTCTCATAAGACCTCACCCTCTGACTTCAACAGTGCATTGCAGTGTGCACAGTAAGTTTGATCTCAAATGTCCTTCTCTTTGCTTTGGGCCATCCACGTGGCTAACCTGAGGTCATAATGGCCTCTAACTCAGGAATGGCTGTGAATGGAGATTCATCACTGTAGATTATTCTGTGGAAGTACATGCTGAGCGGGAGGGTGTGCCATGATTTATATCTAGATGTCCCTCTGTAGCCTCATAGGGTCATAGCTGGGACTTCTGGGGAGAGGTTGGAGTATGAGGGTTTATAACTGGCTTGCTGTTAGGAGGTAGGCCTGTGAAATAAGGCTAACCGATGGTGTGACTTGGAAAGTTTGTCTCCTTGACTCCTCCCATGACCAATTCCTGGCTTCCTTGTGGTCCTCAGTGCAGACCCTTCCACTTGGA